AGCATCTGTGTTCCATTGATTGTGAGTGGAACAACTCCACTGGCTCTGCCCCACTGACTTCCATGTGGAGCAGCTGTGCTCCACTGTCTCGTTTGTGGAGCAATTGTAACAGCTCCCTCCCATTGACTCCTTTGTGGAACAACTCCAACAGCTCCATCCAACCATCTAAGGATGGTTGGAGTCTGAGGTATTCTCAGATGGGTACCTGCCCTCGTTACAGGGATCAAAACACCTTGTGACACCAAGTGTGGGAGGCTGCACCTGCTCTGTCCATTTCTGCACCAAAGTGAGATTCCTTGTGGGCCCTGGCCTTTGTTGCGGTGGTGCAGAAAGCATGAGGTATCTCCTGGACAAAACCCCATCCATACTCCTTGAACAGGTGCAGCGCAACATTCCAAGTGGAAACGAATGACTGTTGCGTTGCTACCTCAAGCATAGGGCAGTTCCCCAAGGGACCCTACATGTACCGGAACATGTATTAAGTAGTGTAGGAAACTTGGAGTGTTGCTACACAAACTTAAGCCCCATCTTGGCTGCATTGACAGGCACACCTCAAATACATGTACATGTACATTCTGAGTGGAATGGGGTGTCTGTTGTGCCACTATCTACAGCGTGAGGCAGTTTCCTGTGGGTCTTGGCACAAGGTGGACTGGCACAAAGATCACGGGGAATCCCAAGACCACTGTGCCCGTTGGTTCTTTGCTACCAAATAATTGCAGTACATGTACATGTATTTCAAGCAGTGACTGAAATTAAACTATTCAGTGAAATGTATCAAGCTTTCAGGGTCATAGCAAGGTTCAATCGTGAATCTTTTAATATATTTGTACTACCGGTGCCTGGTACATGTACCAAGGAAAAAATCCATTACAATTATCAACATGTTCACATGAGTACAAAGTGCACTTATGTGTACATGTACACGTACATGTAAATAGGTACATGTACAGTTGTACACTTCAAACTCTGTACAGATTTCATAAAGTACCGCACACTGCAAATACATGTACATGTAGGTACGTATATAAAAAGTGCACCTTACTACATACATGTACATGTACTCTAATAACTGTGGGCAATCCTGAAACGACAGAGCCCAATTTTAATTTGCAAGCTTACATCCCTCACACATTTTGTGCAACTTTATACTTTAAATGAAACCTACGTGTTGGGTTACATGTGTATCGAAGAAAGAACTATTTGAAGTATTTCAAATTGCCAGCGCTAATCAGGACGAGTAGAAGCACTGTAGCAGTGGTATCAGACATGAAAGACCATTCATTTCAGAGTTTTTCTGTTACAACTGTGAATGTGAAACCAAACTTTGGGCATCAAAACATCATGCACTTTCCGAGCCACGAATCACCAAAGAGGAAATTTAGTTTTAATTTTAAGCATTGAGGTTTTTTTTCCCCAAGGAATACAATTTTGTCCTTGACTATGGCAATTACTCATTAGCATTAAAACCTTAAAGGCATCTAATACTCCTTATAACACCAAAACAAACATTGAAAATGTTGAGACAGGAAGGTGAATTTTCAAGGGTTGTTGACCAAAAATGCTTTGCACGGCCTTTTAAGTTGTTTATAACTCTGGCATACTACCATTCAGTTCACAGATTGGCACTCAATTTGGACATGTCTCGGTACATGTGCAGTGTACGTACACCTAATGCAACATGATGGCTGTGACTTGACGTCCTGACGCTCAATCAAATTCACACCAGACCAGGATTGGATTTTGATAGGCAAGGATCAGTGGTCCACTCTTGTTCATACAGGTATGACGTTAGTGGGCATTACGCCATACACGCCTTTCCTGAGCAACGGTGGAAAAAGTTCGGGCCATGGAAACGGCACAAAGGCCTGTGCTGCAGGCGCAGGTGATTAGAGATGTGCGTGTAATGCCACATATCCATGAAATGATTATGATATGACATGCAATCTGATAATATCATGTGAAACGGAGTGGCATATGGTACATGTATACAATGCACACGTACCTGTATTTGATCAAAGCACACCGGCTAATATTGGGATCCCTTAACCCTAATCCCCTAGGGACCATTGAAATCCTGCAAAAAAGGCTGCATAGCCTAGTTGGGTTCAGCATGGTTAGGCTTCAATTTTCCAAATCTCAGTGTTTTTTCTCCATGTGCCATGCATGTACATGTATGGCATAGTGTTCCAGAATTTAGTCCCTTGTACTCAATCTACATGTACCTGCTTATTTGTCTAATAAGAAAAGAAGTTTAAGTTTGAAACTATCATCTGTGACCTGAATAACTGATCCCACAAAATGAGTCTTATAGCCATATTGTCCATAATTTTGTTTTGAGAGTGCATTATAAGATCAAAGTAAACTCATTCTGATGTACAGTACCTGTGTGAGTCACTTCACAATGGAAATGGACATTAGGTGGGCAATAACGTTGAGGGTTTCAGCGAAAGATTAGCCAAACAGGTAACTCAGGAGTGGCTCTCTCATACCGTACTTGTAACTACCATAAATAAGTACGGTAACACATAAAAAAGCTGAGATTTGACAGAAAGGCCAAGGGTTTGTTCTTACCATACACCACTCCCGAGTTTTGAGCGTTCAGACCTTCTCTCTCCTCATTGGCCAGCGCCTTGACGTACAGCTCGCTGTCCTCCAAAATCTTCTGCCGCAGCCGGTCGCTCTCCCGCACCCCGGGCTGGGCCCGGTACAAGGTGTAGTTCATGAACGCGTACACCCAGGTTAGCATCAGGAACAGCAGGAAGATGCCGATCCGGCTGGAGGTGATCAAACGGCAGCACTTGCGGCCAAGCATCGCACCTCCTTCCAGTGACTACATGAATGCTGACAAACAAAGCCCAACTCTCTCGGTGTCATCCAGTCATGGCATGGACAACACACTCGGTCCCATGTACATAACCATGCACGTCCTAGCCTCCTTTACTGGTAGCTACGTGTATGGCTAATGATTTTTCACTCCTCTTGTGTCATGAGCCTCATTTACATGTATACCTGCAGTATAATCCTGTATTCACACAAAAAGAAGGCATACGTGTACATGAGTGTTCAGGTGTGCTATATAATTATAAAGGAGATGGATGAACAGATGATAGGTTGATCGTTACAGATGTGATGGATAATTGATTTCGTTGAACTACAAGAAAACATTACTGACGCACCTCTAGGTGTGGCTCTCTTAATATCAAGTGAATACCATACGTGCGTATAACATAGCAATTTACGTACATGCTATTCAACTGAACATACCAGTATACACTGGTATACTGCACATGTAAAATTTTGAGGAGATGGATGAACAGATGATAGGTTGATCGTTACAGATGTGATGGATAATTGATTTCGTTGAACTACAAGAAAACATTACTGACGCACATCTAGGTGTGGCTCTCTTAATATCAAGTGAATACCATACGTGCGTATAACATAGCAATTTACGTACATGCTATTCAACTGAACATACCAGTATACACTGGTAAACTGCACATGTAAAATTTTGTGAAGTGAAAATGCTGGCACTCGATCTCCTGCATGCCTACAGTACCTACGTTGTACATACCATAATTTGCACTAGTATGGATTTCACTTTCATCACATGTATACTTATGCGCCTAAAACAGGCTTAGCACAAGCATACATGTACATGTAAGTAGTACTGTACATGTACATCTACAAGTACATGTATACAACCACCATGTCACCGTACATGTACTCACGCAGTATGACAGGCGGAGTCTTTAGTGTCCAAGTCATGCAAGTGAGAACAGCCTTGGACAAGTTAACTAAACTTTGACCAATGCTACTCGATTTACACTGTTGGATTAGCCAGTCCATTGTTTGGAACCACGACCTAGAGCAATGTACCAGTAACTTGGCTGGTAACTGACAGCACTTTGCATAACTCAATACAGAGGGCACTATCGACATGATACATGTAGACAGCAGAGAATATTAACGTACTGACAGGTGCAACAAATTCAAAATACTGAGCTTTGATGGGATTTGTTGAACAATGCGTGGATCCACCATACAGGTAGTTGCTGAAGTGGATCTGCACAAATACATTAACAAGAAGCACTCAATCAGTGGTCATGAGTCCAATTAGTGTAGTTTCCGCCTGAGCAGTCTGTGTATGTTTCGTTCGTTTGTACTGGATTTGAAAACGAAAATTAAACAACCCCAAAAACAAGTCATTTTCTGCTGTTCGATTTAAAAATGAAAATAAAAAATCCACAAACGAGTTGATTATCTTTTTTCAATTTAACCCCTTCGCGCCAAGAGACGGTAAAAGCCGCCGTAAAAATTGAGATCCTCAGGCTGCTTGTCATCTATTATTCTCGGCCCACACTCAAGCGAACACGGTGAAAGAAGACAGACCCTGGCTCTTGTATATATGGTGATTGGCCTTTGTGTGTAGCCAAGAAATGAAATGACCGAATTTGCATCATAATCACCAGCTTCCCAATAGTCCCCACTTTGAAAAGAGGTAACGGGAATGTGGAAGCGTGAGTAGAGCCGCATGCCACCGAACAATGAGCCTTTTCACTGTGTAATTCAAAGCGTGCAAAGCATGCAGGGCCACAAACCGAGAATTTGCAGTTTGGAAGGTGGCCTTCGTGGCCAAGTGAGGCTGGAATTTTTGGAGTCAGCTTTTAGAAAAAAATTCCCATCTTCAAGGGGTTAAACACATAACATGGGAAAACACAAGTAGTTTCTCATCTTTCACTTAAAACTTAACCACTCGCTGCCAGGTACGGTACCTTTGGAAATGCTGTGTCTCAAACTGGGCGATTTTCGATATCTTCAGTTTTAACAAATCTTCCAAAATTCATATCTTTTTCTCCTGAATGCCTAAACCACATTGAGTGCCTGTCCGGTGGTTACTGGAATCTGACAGACAACATCTGTTGATGCCCAAGTATTTCAGCCAGGCCTGCCGCCTTGTAAAAAGAGCCCAGTTTGTGCGGTGTTACATAAGTTTCTTTTGTTCCTGAAACTGGCATAGTGCCCTGCTGATGTCTTTTCAATAGGGGCCAGATTAGCATGCAGTGGCATTGTATCGCTTATCACTGGAGTGCTGGAGCACTTTTGTGCCTGGAGGTAATCCCCTCATGCTGAATGCCACAAATAGTGGTATAATCTTTCAAAACAATGATGGATTTCCCCTGCTATTGACAACTGAAAAAAAGGTTGGCAATTTCCAGCAGATCGGTCTTTTGTTCCGAGTACAGCCTTTCCTTACAAGGCCAAGGTACAAACCCAAGGTACTACTACTGAGTCACTTTCCATGCTTTTACAAAATCGGGCCTTCCACACTGGACTTTCCATCTCGGGAAAGGTACATGTACACGTAACTTGGGAATTTTTCATGGGCACAAGTTGACCAGTAAAAATGACCGCGCAACTCAGGAAAAGTAACTGAGAGGAAAACTTCCTGGGATGTCTGAACTGGACTTAAAATGGGAAAAGTAACCATTGTCTTGGTAAGGTTGACCACAAAAGTACAGTACGGATAGGGCTTTAACCTTTTTTTTTTTTCAGAAAGAGGAACCTTGTGTGGACATGGATCAGTCCACACAAGGTTCAAATAACCTGCATTATGTGGACCGTTTTTGTTCACAAGTCCACATGTTCGTAAGGTTCGCAACTCCACACACACACAGGTATACACGCACAGATGGCATCAGCCATCAGGCATGTCAGGTGACTAGACTCAGACTACATGGTTTTCCTAGACCAAGATAATAACATAAAGATGCCACCGATCACCTATCAATCTGAAGTGGTCCATGTACATGTACTTCACTATTTACTGGTAACTTACCGTACTGTTCAGATGACAAGAGAAATTTCTCATTTTTCACACAGGGTCCCCATCAGATTGTGGAGCTGCCATTACGAATTGTTCAAATTTTCTCAACCAGCATCTGTGGTCTGGTACCCTGAGGAGCTGTAACATTATTTGTCAGACTCCTCCACTGTGCAAACCAGACTGACCTGCCTTCCTGGGCATCATGTAAGCAGGTAGTTCAGACCATTTCCACTCACAAGAAAACTGCAATGGCAGATCAATTGCCACAAAGTCTGGACTCTCCACAAACATGGGAAATTTCTTTTACATCTGCCACTGAAATTGTACTATTTAAACAGGACACTACTGTGTGCTTATCTTGGATGTACATGTAAATGCAGACCTGTGCTGTGTTTGGTACCAGTAGTTCTGTTACGCCCCAACTATAGCATCAGTCCCAACTATACATGTAATTGGGCCCACTCCAACTACTCTGCTGTAGTTGGGCCGGCCCAACTACAGCAGAGAGGTCCTGCCTGCATGATGTGCCCAGCATGTGCCAAAGTCATATTGTTTAAAAATGTTATGTCATCGGTCATAGGGCTAGAGGAACAGATGTTTTAGATGAATTGTGTCAAGTGTGAGACACATTGACTTGTATAATGTTGAGACATTTCCCACAGACATCGGTCAATAGTTGGGCCAGCCCAACTGCAGCACTTTGCTATAGTTAGGCGTAACAGTTCTAAGGCAGTTTTGGGAAGTCAAACGTAATGGTTCGGATGGGCGATATATATTTTTGGATAAGGTCTACGGACAAAAGTACTTGTATTCAGACCCATATGTGATTCTGAGACCCTTAGGCCTGGTAGCTAGAAAAGTTACATGACCAAACAGGATTCTACCCATTTCTGAGAAGATTTGAAATTCTTTCAAATTGTCAGATAAAGTCAACAATATTTGCAAATACTGGACACGACACATCTGTTTGAAGAATTCCCAACATGTATCACAATTTGAAAAGAATTCGACTTTTTCTCAATAGTTTATACAGCTTTCCACATCTGCATGATTTTTATTACACCGACTGAAAAAAAAATGGACCATCCTAGCTGTGTGACTGGACTGATACTGGCAGGACATATAACATCCCCTGCGCTAGATGTGTTCATGTACATGTATGTACACACATGTAGCTGTGACAGATAAAACAAGACTCCACCCCTGCCTCCGAAAATGGGCGAACTGACATTGGCCTGCAGCCGCGGCTGCTTGTGCACCGTGTGATGCGCACAAAGTGTACGGTACCGTGCAATCTGTCGGGTAGAAGATTGGAGATTGGCGAGTAAAAGCCGAGATTTTTTTTTAAAAATGATCAGTGTAATAACCATCTTTATAAGGATTTCGATAGCTACCGATGTAAGTACCTCACGATTGCTCTCACAGAAAAATTTAATTAAGAAGGAAGAATAGAGAGCCTGCATGGGACGCCCTCCCAGAGGACACGTTTTGTTATTTAGATTTAACAACAATGAATGCACAAAAGATTTACTCTAGCCTATCCTAGAGGAAGAAAGAAATGTTCTCTAATGAGACGTCATATGCAGGGGGTCTATTTGAATTTTGTTCAAAATAAAAACAAAAAATGGCCAAGAGGCACACAGAGGTGCCTTTACCCTTTAGGTTTCCTTCCAGAATACCTGCATGACCTGTATACATGTGTACCTCTGCCTCAATCATGCCAAAACAACGCAGAGATGAACCAGTCTAGGTTTAACCACACAGCTATCCTGTCCGTAGCCTAACATGTAACAAATGGGATTGGGTTTACATGTACCATACTAGTATAGTTTTTAGTAGTCAGGTAGGCCTATAATTTAGTCACTTACTTTTTTCATGCTGTTGGCTGACAAAAACTATTCAGAAAAAGGAAGGTAAAGCAGTACAGGATTGACCGACGGCAGATCTATTGATTACACACACACACATTTACAGGTGCATGTGTAATGTTGGCTAACATTAGGCCTAATCAATAACTCATCGTGATAATGTGTATACGATACCAGCGTGACCGGTTGTAAAGGCATGGAAGTGGTAAAGGCTAGGCCCGGCCTACTGCTGCCGTACAAGCTCAGCAGGCGGTGTTAGATCCGGAATGTCCTGCATTTCTTGTCTGCTCTAAGATCAAAATTTATGAAAATATAGGCCTAGGCCTGCATATCAACTACCTCTCATCACTTTTATACGGAATCAGTGTTGTCTTCAGAAACAATGACCGGCTCTATAATGCTCAAATTTGTCACACAATAACGTTTCTCACCATTATCAGCCCCAATCCTTTACTGTTTTTCACAACTTTCGCATCATCGATACAGAACCAGAGATAGAATTGAATCAGTCGCAGTCGCACGGTGGCGCCCTTCCGATTGCTCGAGCAGGACAACATGGCGGCGCCTATGAATTCCCATGTGGAGTCCAAGTCTACGCTGTTCGTGAGAAATTTACCTTTCACGACAACCAAGGAACAGCTGGAAGGAGTTTTTAGTGAAGTTGGACCCATTAAGAAGAGCTTTGTTGTTACAGAAAAAGGTATCTTTCATTGATGAAGGAGGGATTGTAAGTTTTGGGACCCACCTGAGCTGAACATGCTGAACGCGGCATGCGGCAGTGGCTAACGTTGGGGATTGTATACTTGGGGACCCCAGTTTTTTGACATTTTAAACTTGCAAAACTAGTAACTTCCCCCCCCCCCAAAAAAAGCAACATTGTCTTCATTGCGCTGACCCTATTTTTGGGAAATTGTAAATTGTGAGAAAATGTGACTTTTTTACTGATAAACTAACCATGCAAACTTGAATTCACCATGCAGGCCATGTGTCATGTGTCAAAACACTCACAGTTTCCCCTCAAAACCCTACTTTTTTGACAACATTAACCCTACAGTTATTAAGCATGATGCCAAAGTCATTTACATGTACCTAGGTCAATTCAAAATTTAAAATGTTTGTTATAGGAACAGGGTCCCCAAATTTACAATCTCCCTAGCCCAGGTGGATTCCCTGACCGTCCTACGTTACAGAGGGAGTAAAGGGTATAAAGGGTGCAAAATCGGGCGAAAAATTTTGTAACTAAAATTTGCAACATTTCTACCTTTTCTAAGAAGCCAATTTCACATCTGTAACTCCTATGCGTCCTTATCTCCACGGCTGGTGGGTTAAGAAATTTGCTACATCACCACCAAAGACAACATTGGGAAAATAAGGTCGGACCTAACGTTAATTCTTGCCATTGTTATGGACTGTTTTCAGCCGTTCTCCAGTGCAGTTTGTACAGTGTGTGTGCACAACTATTCGGCGTACGAGATTCCGAGCCTACTTCGTGGTTTTAAAACTTCTGACACAGTCTAGCTATCTGTCCACTGCTCTAAAATCCAACTCGTCACTGCCAATTACCAATTCAGTCTGCTTTTTGTATGTTTAGTTTACGAATAAAAAAAAGGAAAGGCCGATCAACAGCACAATTTGTACGTGATCGCTACTTACTGCACGTGCGCACACCAGTACTGCCTCTGCATTCTGTGTTCCCAATCAGTATAGCATCATTCTCGCCTGTTCATCACAATCATCATGCCTGCAATGTAATCCTCTTTTTATTCCTCAATTATCAAGATAAGTTACCGTACTGTTTCATTTTAGTAAAAATCGGATCTCTACAATATTGTGTATTTGTACACCTTTAACCAATAAAACTCTACGAACAAATTAAACATGTTAAACACTTCAAAGAGAGATCATTGATGAACTTATTCCTGTACAACTACAAGAACCCTGCATATACAAAGCCTTCTACTCTAACCGAGGTTATTCTTATAAAATAGCAGCTTGTGTCGCAAATTTATGTTTATAAACCAAAATTTAAAGCAGAACAAAATATGAACATTTTAGGGGTAACCAATAGTGGGTTAATTGGTCAGTCTGAAGCCCCCAATGCTATAAAAACAGAACTGCATTTTTTATATTGGCTCGGTGGCAGGCGGGTTAAAGCCGGGTACCAGTCACGTCCTCAGTGTAGCAGGCGAGCAACAGACCTTCACTGGAAATCGCGCACGCATAGTGTGTGCCCGCAGCTCGGATTCCTTTACTGTACGTGCTTGCACTTTACAACTAGACTCAAGAACGGATGCATTACATCTACAAAAGTAACGTTGCCTCTCACTTATCTTCCTCGACTTTGCAGACCATGGTTCGTTCTGAAATTCCTAAACCCCCCCAGACAGATAGATAAGGCCACAAAGAACTTGTAAACGTGAAAAATTAGTTTCTTCAACAAGGTAAACCAAGAACAAATTAAAACCAAATTTGTGGTCGTTTTGTACACAACTTTTATACCCTGGACGTCAGTCATAATGAAATGAAGACAACATCCAACCTTGGCTACAATCCCCCATACTTAGTCATGTTTCACATGATGTACCATGACGGACAAAGGTACATGTACACCAAGAACTGTGGGGTCTGATGTCCGCCCCTGGGCAGACCCCACAGTTCCAGGGGTAGGGCGAAGGCATTTCAGGAAGTGCAGTCGTAGGTCTACCCCGTCCAGTTGTCTGGCCATGCAGGCACGTGCATTTTTTAACTGTTTGTTTCTATTGTCAATGTCATGTGTTAATTGAAAGCTGACCGTCAAAAGTCACACAACTGAAAATCCTACTTTGTGACTGTTCTTATGTGAGTTTAGACAGGTCTCTGTCTACTCTCTTGTACCAGTCTGATGCATTGGAAACAGGAACCAGACAGATTGTGGACTTTATTTCCCTTCAAAAAAATTCCTCCCGGGGTATGAATCTACCAAAAAGGAAAGTAAAAACTTACATAGAAAGTATACATGCAATCTGATAGGGAAAATAAACAAACTAAAGGAGAGGAAACAAAGGAAACAGATTCTGTCGGGTGTGTGGCTTGATCCCAGTACATGTGCTTTACACTGCAGCATGCATACCAACTTTGCTATTGCCTTGGTAACAAGTCATAATGTGTAAGTCCAAATCAAGTCATAAGTCTTTTTTTTTCTTGTAAGTCCAAGCCAAGTCTCAAGTCAAAAACCGATACATGTAGTTACAAGTCCAGTCACAAGTCACCAAAATACTGACTCGAGTCAACTGGAGTCCAGGTCAAGTAACTCGAGTCTGCAACTGTGGCGTTGGCTGATCTTTTCAATGTTCTTGCCAATTGGCCCGTTGCAACTAATCGGAGATCAGCTTTCCGTTGAAATCTTTCATTAACCAATCAGAGACACTCTACCAAGCAAGTTTGGCAACATCGGCATGTTAATTTTCAGTATGTGTGTGCAAGCAACGTCTGTATCAATGTTGTTGTTTGTACCCTATGATTTTCAAACTCCTGCCCTCTTTCTGCAAGTTTACCCTGCAGTTCGGTGAAATAATGTAATTGTCATTGACTCAGGTGAGTCCGAAAGCTTAAATGTAATTCTTACACCTACATAGGAAAAGGGTCCCAAAATTCACAATCTCAAAACTTTGCGAGCAGAATACCAAGAGCCTTTTGAATCCTATGAATTCTTTACCTTTTTTCTTGTGACTTGCAGGAGTGAAGGACAGATGTAGAGGCTTTGGATACGTCACTTTTGCATTGAGGTGGGTACTGGTGTCATTTAAGAACTCATGAAGAAGTACTTTTAAGTTCTAGGTACTTTTGAACAAACCTTGTCCCACGGAGGATGGCAAGCAGCAGTGATGTTGTGCCCTAATGCTCAGCCTTGACCTTAAAAAGCTGTCATAAGACTGCCTTAACCCTAACCTTTCCTAACCACACAGAATTAAACAGTAGTAAATATTTAATTCTGTGGGGATAGGTCTGGTAGGCCCATAACAGCTGGCTTTTGCATTGGGTTTGGCATACCTCAGAAAAACAAACTAACAAACTAATGGAGACAACTTACAAAAATGACATGGAAGTCTTCAAAATACAAGTTGTATTCCATAATCCACGACAAATCATTTTACGAACCTCAGTACGTCATAAGTATGGTCAATTTTTATTTTTTTTGTTTTTGTCGGGCAGAGAGGATGCAGAAAAGGCTATCAAAGCCAGACTCATGCTTGACAATAGAAGGCTTTTCTTGTCCTACTCGAGAAGGAAAGAACCCCGGAACAAGGGAAGAACAAAGAGAGATCAGACCGAGGAAGAAAAAGCAGATGAAGTAAAAACATCGGATGATGTTGGCAAGACGTCAGTGGAGGCAGGGAAAAGAGCACCCAGGGGACGCAAGGTCAAACCTGACACCACGGCAAAGACCGTTGACCCCATCAAGAGGAGACGGGATGCAGACAAGGATTGGACAAAGCGGGAGAAGAAGCAGAAAACTGGACAGGGAGACACGGCGAGCAAAGAGGGGCGGTTGATCATCAGAAATCTTGCTTTCAGTGTAAGTAAACCTTTTGTCACTTTTGACGGATGGGCTTAGAAGTCTTTCCCTCCACTTTGGTATCGGAGTAATTTGGTTGAATGTGAACATACATGTATGTAAAAACCAAAACCAGAGAGACAGAAAAAACCAATCCTTTAAATACAGCCATTGCAAAGATTTCAGTCTACTTTCCGATAGGATAGTCTCTCTTCAGTCATTGCGTATTTTCCAGCCCCAGACACAATTTCAGCATTACTTGGGACAGACATCTTTGCTACTTTAGGAACAGACGGTAGTGGCAAGTTAATTAATTTTTTTAAGTTGAGTCTTCAGTATTTTCTTTTTTTTGTGAAATTTAATTTTTCAAGTTATTTGTCAACACATGAGGGCACTGTTGCAATGGAGGGAATGTACCTGACTTGCCTAAAGCAAACCTCATGAACGTGATTGGGTTATGCAGTTTAGTGTCATTAAGGTATGGGTGAGTTAAGGTACCGTTTGCGTCTTTCTAATACATATAGGCTTGAAGTCAAGTCACCGCTGAGCGGTGTCTTCGCACACATGCTCCAACACTTTCCGTCCAAAATAGTTCACTTTCAGATTTCGGAAACCTTGTTCAGTCTCTTTTAATGCCCTGATCGTATCATCCAATCACTTGGCATTCGCACTGTGTTGCGTTTGTCCAGCATAGAGGTTTCTACGTGTACTTCCATGGTTCTAGACTCAAAATAAAGTCTATCCAAAAAGTTAGGTCATAGGGGACAAAAAAATATCAGCCCATGGCATTGTAACTTTCATTGAGGTCATGACCTATTGGGTAATATTGAATGCATGGGCATTTTCCAAGATGATCAACGCACTTAATGCAGCCATCTCAATACACAAAACCTCTGATAGGATATTAGCAAGTTGCCAAAATGTTATGTTTTACACTGTGTGCAGCGAATGGAGCATAGCACATTGATCATTTATATTGTGAAGTCAGTCGTCTCTCCATTTTCATTTCTTATCACAATATTTTGGAACTCTGACAAGGTTTTTCTGTTTTATGTTAATGATCTCACATTCATACTGCAACAGTGCATTTTCATGTGACAATGGTAAATGTCCGAGCGAATGCTCGTAATGGCAGAACAAAATAGGCTCTGCTGCGACATTTTGTCTGACCACAGTTTCTAATTTCTCACACTTCACCTATGCTACAAAGAAACAGAAAGACCAAAGGCTTAAGCTGTTTTATATGTCAAGATGAACTGATGAATATTGAAATGTACCTTGCATAATGTACATTAAGCCTGTAAATGTATCAAAATTTTCCTAAATTACCCACTGAAAACAGCAATGTTGCGGGATTAAATACTGTTTTTGAAAATTGGGGGGTAAAATGATTAATTCAAAAAATTTTTTATTACCCACACTGCATACGTAGTGCTCAGAAGAAAGATTAGGCAAAGCCTTTGCTCGGTTTGGTGACATCACTGAGGTACACATACCCAGCGATCCAACAGATCTCAGCAAAGTTCGAGGCTACGGCTTCGTGCAATTCAGTGCCGTGGCCTCTGCCTCCAAAGCAGTTGAAGAGATGAACACCAAGAAGATCATGGGTGAGTGACGTGGAAAAGCTGTCAGCACATCATGGCACCCCGTGTAAATGTTCAGTATTGTATTCGAGTCCATCACAAGTCCTTTCACAATTCCAGTCACAAGTTCCCTCACAAGGCCAGTCACAAGTTCCTTCACAACGCCAGTCATAAGTAACAGGGTGAAAAAAACCAAAAGAATACTTTTGTCACAATTCATTTGAATAGTTTGTGAATTGGCTCACGACTGAAGGACTTGTTATGGACTTGCAGGGACTTGTGATGGACTCAGATACAACACTGCACATGTTTAAATGAGAAGAGAAACTCTAGAAATCTTGAATCCTTTTATTCATTGGGCGGATCAATATTTGAGTTCCGTCAAGTTCCACTGTGGGTCCATAATTAGCCATCCAGTCTGAAGCCAAGTCACAATCACTTCATATAGGCTGTGACTGAAGCATTCCTTTGTCAGTGTTTGCCCTGCTACTTGTGACTGGTCTTGTCAAAGGACTTGTGGCTGGACTTCTGATGGACTTGATTACATCACTGCTGTGGAAGGAGTCATCTACGATGGGGAAGATTCATAATACAGTGTACCACCAAGAGGTTGGAACGGAGAAGCCATTTTTCAAGTTTATGATCAAAGCATGGCCATCTTGCTTCAATTTGCATTTGAGCGTATGTCAGTAGACAAGTTTAGAGAAATTTTTCATGGATTGGGACATTCCGTGCTGTAAAAAGAAGAAAAAATGGATTACAAACTGCAACTCAAAATAAACAAACATCAGGTATATGTATAATTCAGGCTCTTGGCACACAGATAGGAAAGAGAATTTGTCAACCATTTCACACAATTCACTACAAAACTGGCCTTTCCGTGGCATCCTCTTGGTGGCGCACTGCCTTGTGAATGACTCACGTCTGATCTTCGTGCAGCTACAGCACTAGTACATGACAATGGTATTTTAAGCCAGCCTGGTCGTGTTCATTGGTCAGACTTTTCCATCAATTGCCAGATTCAAGATTTCTGGGGTGAAGGTGATGCCTCCAAACTCAGATAACTTGGATTGTTTCCACTCGAGACACTTCCTGCTGTAATTGTATCACCAACCTTTCTTACTTGGGGCAGTTTAAGAAGACAAAGTGTTCCCAATTGGGAATATTAGCATACAGGTTCATGCATTATCAGTCGGAAGCAGTCCAGTCTGGCATGAACCACTGCATGTTCCGATACAGAAAGCATGTTTTAAATGAAGCATTCCAAGTTTGTAGTCATTCCCTGAAGGAATTCGGACTGTTAGCACTAAATAATCATTGGTACTTGGTGTTTTATAAATTTCTCATTGAAATCGTACATTTCTTAACGATCGGATTTGGATTTCCTGATGTCATGATTTCCAAATCCTTATCCTCAGAAACAAAAATGACACCCCCCTACAACTGTTTTCAGTAGGGCCTCGGAAAGCACACCATACTGGTAAGACTTACAAGCAGCATTCAGACTTTGACTTTGGGGGTTATTTGTCCTTACTTTGCAGGGAGACCAATTGCAGTGGATTGGGCATTGTCCAGGGAGAAATACTTGGCAGCAACAAAGACGAATCTCGCTGGCAAACGGAAGCCACAAGAGACAGGTGAGCCTTATGCTCGAAGTGCAACAAAATCCCACAATAACCCCACTGTTAACACGAACTGGGTTTGACAGAAGTACGATAGCTGTATCAAGTTTAACAACGGAAGCCAAATGAATTTTTATCTTTTGTTAGCTTCTTTAATTTCTGCTTAAGTCATTTTGTGGCTTTTATTTTACTTTGTTGAAAACAAATTAAGCAATTACCAAAAGAAAGTGCCAATAGTCCATACAAATATAAGGAAAAGTACATTGTAGTTGCCTTCTGCAGTACCGCAGGATGCAATAATGCCATGGATAGCTACTGGTTGCTGTCATCACACACGTTGAAACAAGTCCACCTGACAAGTTTCATCCACATTCTGGCCGATTCCAATTACTTCAGAGTACAAAAGGACCATTAACCCTAATCAGGGGTGATATCCTGCGTCAGATCATCAAAACCTCATCTCTTATCCCCTAACAGACCCACTATAATTATGCTCTGTTCACAAGCTCAAGAAACATGAGCCAGAAAAGGAGGAATGGTGACAAATGGCCTAGGGTAAAAAAAATAAATACAGAACTTATGTATAAAACCTAAGTAAACATTGCAGAACATTCAGAGGCCCTGAGATTGGATGTTCTTTAGGAATGGTCCAGTCACAATGTCTCTACCAAAATTCAGTGCAACCTTAACCCTAACACTCCTTAATCCTTCGCCTGTTGGAGGACTGAGGAGTGTTAGGGTTAATGTTTCTGCCCGATGACCTCAGAAAAGCAATAATGGATACTTGACATTGACCACTGTCCCTAGCAATGTGAAGAAAAAGATAACGTCCAACATTAGTAGACCTAGCACACGCATGACCACATAAACTCTGCTGGCCAAGTTAGACTGTTTCAGTAGTGTAACTAAGTGCATAATGGTAGATTCACGTATTGAAAAGCCTGCCAAACAGGTACATGTATGGAACACCACTTGTACAAACACACATAGATGAAAAACAAAGAAATGTATGAAGCACAAGATGTGCTATAAAAAACCAAAGTCACTTTTTGTCAGGAATGATCCATTTTAACCAAACGTGGGCGCGCCCAGTTCTACCTCTAAGTCCTTGCTGTAAATAACTTCTTTTGACAGTTGAGGTAGAAGACGGTGATGATGAAGATGATGATGGCAGTGATGAATCAGGCATGGAATCCTCCTCGGAGCTTGAGGAGACGAGAGAAGGAGGTGGCACAGATGAAGATGCAGACTCGGATAGTAACCATGACGATGATGATGACACTGATGGTGATGACAGCGATGGAGAAATGGAAGAGGACAGTGACAGTGAAGACGAGGGTGTCACTTCCAATGAGGATGGCAAGCGGAAAAGACCTCACCAAAATATAGAGCAAGAGTCGGAAGCAACGAAACGGAAGAAAATTTCAGATGATGTAGGCGAAGGAAGGACGGTCTTTATAAGGTAAATACATTTTCATGGGCAAAGGACTATAGGTGGCAGACCTTTAGTTTATCTAAACCTGTGATTTTTTGTGATCATTGATGGGTTGGTCTTCACTGCGTTAAAAGGACAATTTCATTTGTTAGTAAGGTCGGGGCTGGCATAACATCTTTGGTCCCCACAACAAGTACTTGAACACACGTGTAATCCCCACAACTACAGAACATGTATAACTGGCAGGGCGCGCGTATTTCCATGCCATCCTGTCAATGTTCCTTTTGGTTGAGTTCACAACTTGAACATGTGTTGTTTTAGGAGACACTTTTCTAAACATGAAGAAAAATTCAAGTCAGAAAAATCACAACTGTGGGTGCAAGTTTACAAGATAGTCCACACTGTCGCCATGTCAGTTCCACAGGCACACTGCATATACTTTGGTAGGCCAGGCTTTTGGTGCTGTCTGAGCATTGCCAGGCCTCTGCAGACCAAAAAAGGGAAGGGAAGTGTTTTGTTCCTGTGAAAGAATAAACGTCTCAAGAAATAGTCTGAACACTCCTTGAGTGCCTGACCTTGATAGATATTGGGTCAGAAGATTTGCCAGTTTTCAATTCTTATGACCTGTGCTATAGTGTCGACTTACATGCACTTTACCTGCAAATATTTATATATATGCAAATGCTGGGTGCTGGGAGTTAAATCTCTCTTGAGTCTAGGTGTTGTTGTCATTTCAAGTTTGATCGTGGTATTCAAAATTGTCATCTAGGCTGTTTTTCCTTCACATTTCAAGGAATATTTTGTTCGAGACCACGGAGGAAGAGATACATGAGCTGTTTTCAGAGTTTGGCCAGGTCATGTACAGCAAGCTTGTGGTAGATCCAACAACAGAACACTCTAAAGGTACAAACCAAATGTGCTGAACTGTCAGCCATTTTTGTCAGGTACCCTGAGTAAGGTAATCATGGTATTGTTATTGTCTTTTGCTGCCACCAGACTATTTGTTGACTTGACCTTCTCACATGACCGGCTTGGATTGCCGACCAATAAGTTGCCATATACAACAATGATTACACCTGTAAATTTCTGTCTTCAAAGAATCAGAAAAAAATGCAAGTTTCTCCGGCATTTGTGATTCATATCAAATCAAAGCGTATTTCCTCTAATTGCATTTTCCAGTCAGTTTTGGGGTGGATGTCCAGTGGCTTTTGAAGAAATTTCCACCAAAAGTTGATTCCCCTGAAATGACCTTCAATCCCCCACCATCATGAAAATTGATGCCTGTACTCCTTGGCAAAATAGAGCCAGCTAGAGGGCTTTATTCTGGTAAAATTGCACGCAAATGCCGGAAGTCCTGTTCACATTTTCTAGCCTTCTTTATTACAAACCTTCTATTCACAGGCCACCAAATATTCTGATAGAGAATATTCTATGGCCCTATTTACTGGCTTTCAGCCTTGCCTGAGCTGTTATAATATCATGATGTTCGTCTACAAAGTAGTTGTTTAAACTTACTTTTTTTGTAGGTACAGCATTTGTACAGTTTGCCACTAAGGAAAGTGTCGACAGATGCTTAGAGAAAGCCAGCAATGTAAACCAGGTACGTGTCTGTTCAAACTACATGGATATCGTCCGTACCAGGCAAAAATCAGACAGTGGTTGACTGCCTGTCGCTGATCAAAGTTGGCCCATGGTGAGGCATGTGTTGTCTCCGCCTCTTCCTTTGTCATTGATGAGGGTTAAACTTTTCACGAAACCCATGGTCAATACATCTACTGACTGAGCCCGGAAGCTGATCCTTGTAGCCCCAAGCACAGTGTTTGGAGGAAAAGGTTCAATCTTGTTTACGCTGTGTCAAATCCTGAATTGTTTTTAGAAAACGGATGCATAATACATGTACTCTCCATAAGGATACGGTGAAGGATAATGTTCCTTTTTCGTCAACGATGTAACCTGTAATGGCCACTACACCATGCCTACAATTCTCCAGTGTCCTGTTGA